GTCTCTTCCTCCTCCTCTCTCAGTCTCTTTTTTCTCAAAAATACTCATTCTCGTCACCTTTTGATTTCTCTTTTTTTTTCCAGCAAGAACAACTCCTTCCTCATCCTCTTGGTTTCTCTTTTTTTTTTTTCTCTAGCCAAAACAGCTCCCTCCTCTCATTTTTTCACCCTCTGTTTTTCCAGAAAAAAAGCTCATCTCCGTCACCTCCTCTCTTGCCTCTGTTTTTATCTTTCTCGAACTCTCTCTTCTTCGTCGCTATTTTTTCTTCGTCATTGCTTTCTTATTCAGTTTTGAGTTCTCTCCTTCTCATCTCAGTCTCGATCTTTTTGTCACCTCCTCTCAGCCTCTGGTTTTTTCCTCCTTTGATCTCTCTCTTCTCCCTCTGGTTTTTCTATTTCTCAATCTTTTTTTTTAGATAACTCTCGTGCCTCTATCTTCGTCCATTACTCCCTTTCTATCTCTATTTTAAATGAATAAAATAACAAAAGAAAGTAACCACTACTTATAATTTTGTCAATAACCTCCTTCACATAGGGGTCCAAAATATTTTCCTAATTATTTGTTCGGGTCAAAGCCCAAAGCTTGCCACCAGAGATATAACATTCTGATCTCTACTCCTTTAAATAGTCTTTTTTAATAGCACCAATATAGCTCTTGCCCCCTTTCAGGTAGGAGTATTCATTCTTCTTTTCCTTCACCTTATTTATGGCATTTAATTCCTATGAAAATAGAAAATATTTGAGTCAACGTAAATATATAATCAATAAAAACTAACATTAAGGAAGAAATATTACCTTGAACTCTTTACTACAACAACAGTCAACAAATTCAGCCTACTAATTCGAATTAATCACAGATTGTAGGATAAGGGGAACTTCATCAATGCCAACTATGTTTAGGTTCTTCAAGAATTTTTAGGTGACCTATGCTCTAAAACTACAATAAAGCATCCCAGCTTTTTACAAAACAAACTTCTTTTGACTCTCTTTGAGTTTAAATTTAGACTGTAAAAGAAGTTAATCATATTCTAGATTATTTGAAATTTCTATATAAAAAATTTTAAAATGGCAAATAAGAAATATGTTGCCGAGACTGTGTTCTACACTCAATCCTTCAATGAATGATGTGCCCTTGTCCAATTTACCATACTGAGTAGTGTATTAGCTTTAACAACCATTTGATACAGCTCACCAAGTTGTCTAAGTCAATGCACTTGCCTCTATCATTCCATTGAGTAGGCAACTTTCTCCTGAGTAATTTCAAGTCTTCAATCAATTGAGCTAAATACATATCTATGTTATTCCCAAGTTGCTTAAGTCCTGATATTAATATTGTCAATATTATATACTTACGCTTCATGCAAAGCCATGGAGGAAATTATAGATTATCAACATCACTGGCCATATATTGTAGGTACTACTTTGAAGCTCATGCAGGTTCATCCTATCAATAGCTAATGCGAGGTGTAAGTTCCATTCAAGGTATTTGCAATCAAACTTTTTCCACTCAGAAGCATCAATAGGATGCCAAAACAAGTCATCTTTAATTCGCTCATCTGCATGCCATGTTAGATTTTTTGCCTCCTTTAGTATGCCATACAAGTGAATGAATCTTGGTATGATAGGAAAATACCACATTGCTTTCTTTGAAATCTTCCTATTCTTCTTGTAACATGATGCCATGCACTTAGGGTAATGAGTTAATGATTCATAATCCCCCTAAACAAAACACAATCGTTGATGCAAACATATATCTCCTCATAGCTTAGGCTAACAAAGCATAGCACTTGTTTTGCCTCATACGATTGACTTGAAAACTTGTAGAGCTTTGGTAGTATTTCCTTGTATGATAGAGAGATTTTTCATGAAGCGTACATCACTCCTTCCATGTTTTGCTTTCAAGTTATAAAATCTTAATATTGTAAACAATATTGTGTATTCACAACCCTCATATAAAGGCGTCTTTGCATCACTCTTCAATTTTCTAACATTTTTGAAAAATCCTTAAATATGACTTCCATAACATCTTCCAACTCTTTAAGATTGTTAGTTGCATATGCATTTATGTTAGAATTAGGCGGATGACAACTTTCACTGTGCCTCTGGCAACAATTAATCTCATACAGTGTCTCCCCATACAGTGTCCAATATTTATAACTCTGATTGATTCCAAATTCTACCAAGTGGTCTTCAAAGTTTTGTGGAGAAGCATGCCTCACAGAATTACACTTCAAACAGGGACAAATAATTCTTTCTGGATCTCTAGCATGCTCTCTTGCAAACTTAATGAGTTCTTGAACCCTATCCCAGTATTCTTGAGATGTATGCCTAGCATGTATCCATCTCTTATATATAATGTTAATCTAGTGTTAATCATTTAGAAAAAAATGTGATCAGTGACTCAATACCATCATAACAACTAAATTAATGTAAGAAAAAGTCGATGCTCCAGTCATATGCCATCACATATTATCCCTCTCTAATTATAGGATCAACACTAGTACATTAAATATGATTTTAATCATGTTCCATCACACTTAAAAAATTTTTAGTAGCATAATAAATTAAAATTGTTATACCCTAGGCCTTATGCCTTTTCTTTGTGTTGTTTTTCAAAAAAAAAAATGCTTTAAACCTATGTAAAACCAATAATTTTAACAAAAATTCAATAGCATAACGACACAAAAAAAATGAATTTCCCTAAGAATAATAATGCCTTGTTTTTCAAAACAACTATGGAGCAATATCATAGTACTAGTTTCAGAGAAATTCATTCTATCACATGTATAATGTCACATAACATATGCATTCAGCCAGGCATTATGAAAAGCAAGTAAATTAAACATATAAATATAGAAAATTTAATAAAGCAAAGGTTCAAATTATTAAATATATCGTTTGTTATATTAAAAATTGAGAAACAAAGGAGCACAACAATTCCAAACACATTAGCATATATACTATATACATTCAAAGAATGAAATAAAACGAAATAAAAATGATCATGAATAGATGTTATGGATCAAAAATCATTAACCTTAGTCTCAAATATTGAAGAAGAGAGAAGAGAGCTGAGGAGGAAGCGACAAGACATGAAGATGATGAAAACACCATAGAGTCAAAGCAAAAACCCACGGCAAGCAATGGTGATGGTGGTGAAAGATTCTTAAACGGTGAAGGACAGCTAGGCTTGGCCAAAAATTGGTTTTTGACAATATGGGAGTGATTTCGTAGAGAATGAGAGAGGTTCACCGGAGGAATAGAGGTTTGAAGATTCAAAATCTTTAATGTCTGCGAATATTTGGGAAGCCGAAGAGTTTTTAAATGAATCTATTTAGCGGCTATTTTTAAATAAATGCTAAATAGTATTCATATTAAAAAATTCAAAAAAAATACTATACAACATACAGTAACCATTGTATAGTCTTAAAATATACTCAGTGGTTATTTATAAATAATTGCTAAATAATTTTTGAGACCCAAAGCTTAAAAAAGGTAGAGAATATATAGTGGGTATACTTTTAACTGCTATATAGCAGTTATTTTATATAATCTTTATATAGTTTTTAGAATGAAGTCCCACCTCCTCTATATAATGATTATTTAAATAACCTCTATATAGATGACGTTATATATAGGCTATTTTTTAGTAGTGATATTTACCAGTTAAACCTTGCAAATATACAAGTTAGACTAATAATTTAAGATTTTCAACTTGTAAATCTGCAAAATTTAACTTGTAAAACCATTAATATTTTTTCTAATAATTATTTTTTTAAAAAAAATTATATCCCCTAGAAAAATGGATTTTCATTCTTAAAAATCAAAATATCCCTTTCATAAGCCGATTTGGAACCGTTCTCGTCAACACTGCAGAGAACATTAGATTAGTTTATTTTTGTAAGCAGAATATTCGCTCCAGCCAATGTATGAAATGAAAATGACTTCATTCATTCACAATTAATGATGTATGCCTGCCCAATAAGAAAACATTTAGGGTTATCAAAAACACGACCCATTAGTAACCACTTGTTTAGTCTACTCTTTTTTTATTTCAAAAAATTATTCTCATGTTTTTTACCATAAAAAGACATTCAAATATGAAACTCCTAGGGCAAAAAAAGTTAAAGCATATTTTTAATCATATAATTTTATATAACATTTTAGTTTAATTTTTTATTTTTATAAAATATATTTTCAGTCATTTAATCATAATACTATTAGTTTCATAAGTAGATTTTCTAAATTCATAGGTAGAGATAATACTATTAGTTTCAACTGATTATATTTTGTATTAATTATTAATATTTAAAAAGTAAACTTAATATATCAATATTTAATAATATTTTATTAATATTTAAAAATTTAATGTAAACTACTTTTTTTTTTATGAAGAAACTAACAATGTAAGGTTATTTGGCAAAAACTTCATTTGACTTATGAAACTTCATTTTGGAGAGGCCATTTGTTCTCCATTTGAGAATTGATTCTTAACATTTAAGCTTTTTTTTATTTTTTTTATAATTGATTCTAAAAAGTTATCCGAATATTTTCAATTATCAAAATCAATTTCAAAAAAAAATATTATTCAAATAACATCACGTTTTGTTAATTGATTTTTTCATAATCAATTTTTACCAATTAAAATCTAAACATATCCTAAATAATTAAAAAGATATTTTATAAAATTAAAGAATTACAATCAAATATTGTATAAAATTAAAAGAAGAGTAAATTAAACTTCCGATGGCTATGGAAGAAGAAAACAGATATGAAACTTTCAATGGCTTTGAAAGAAGAAAACACTGATATTATTATCAAAGAGGAAAAAAGAAAAAAGAAAACATAGATATTGACGAAGAAATAGTCTACCAATTAAAGTCATCAAACCCCACGTGTCCTCCAAGCATTCGAAATAATCATTTATCTTCTTTATCTCTAATCAATGTTTTTGTTGAAAATAAGCATAGGATCCATTCTCTTTAAACCAGAAAACAGAAACTTTCACAGGTTCAAGGAAGCCGACCATGTCTATCACCATTTTCATGCTGTGTTTGTTCCTGAACATAGCATATTCAGACAAGAACATGAATAATGTTGGATTCACGTATGATGGATACTTCAAGATGGGCGATCAAGAGCTCAAGCATTCCAATCTGACGGCTAAAGTAATACGCACTGATGGCGGCCGAAGTGAAGCTTGGCAAGTCTTTTACAATCTTCCCCTTCAATTCAAGAATTCCAATGCCTCTCCTTCTATCTTCTCCTTCTCTACCACTTTCGTCTTTGCAATAGTAGCCACCAATCCTGAATTTCACGGCCACGGACTCGCCTTCGCTATCTCGCCTACCAGAGGTATTCCTCAAGCTCAGCCAAACCAGTATCTTGGCCTATTCAATGCTACCAACAATGGTGAAAGTTATAATCATATTGTTGCAATAGAGCTTGACACTGACAAGGATTTTCAGTTAAATGATATTGATGATAATCATCTTGGAATTGACATCAATGGGGTGGCCTCTGTCAATAGTTCTCCTGCAGGTTACTATGCTGATCATGGTCCTCTCAGAAAGCTAAAACTTACAAGTAGAGAACCGATGCAAGTTTGGATTGACTATGACAGTAAAGATCAGAAACTCAGCGTCACAATTTATCCCATAAACATACCTAAACCAGAGATTCCTCTTCTCACACTGATGACAAGAGATCTTTCTTCTAATTTCTCTGAATTTATGTATGTTGGGTTCTCATCCTCCAGCGGGTCATATTCATCTCATTACATACTAGGTTGGAGTTTCCAGATGAACGGTCAAGCTAAGGAGATTAATCTTTCTCGCCTTCCTGACATTCCTGGGATTTTAGATCCAAATGAAAGCGATGGAGGAGGGATAGGATACAAGAAAGTTTTGATAGTTATGTTACCACTACTAGTAGGTGTGGTTTTCCTTCTAATCTTGATTTATGGAGCGATCATGATCTCGAGGAGGAGAAAATTCATTCAAGTTCTTGAAGATTGGCAAGTCTTGTATGGGCCTCATAGGTTCACTTACAAAGACTTGTTCATTGCAACAAAAGGGTTTAGAGATGGACAACTTCTTGGCAGAGGAGGTTTTGGAAGAGTATACAAAGGGACTCTACCATTTTCCAATGTTCAAATTGCAGTGAAAAGAGTTTCTCATGATTCAAGACAAGGAATGAAAGAATTCATAGCAGAAATTGCAACCATCGGCCGTCTCAGGCATCCAAACTTGGTAAGACTTCTTGGCTATTGCAGAAGAAAAAAAGAACTCCTCTTAATTTATGACTACATGCCCAATGGAAGCCTAGACAAGTTCCTCTACCGCATGCCAAACAGCATACTCAGCTGGAAACAAAGATTCAAGATCATAAAAGATGTGGCATCTGGACTCTTGTATCTTCACCACCAATGGGTTCAAGTCATCGTCCACAGAGACATCAAACCAGCCAATGTTCTGATTGACAATGACATGAATGCTAGACTGGGAGATTTTGGCCTTGCCAAGCTATGGGACAATGGAAATGATCCTCAAACATCTCGTGTGGTGGGAACTCCGGGCTACATAGACCCAGAAATTGTGCATAGTGGAAAATCAAGCACATTTACTGATATATATTCATTTGGGGTGTCTCTGCTGGAGATTGCCAGCGGTAGAAGGCCGGTCGAAACTGATGAAACTTCGCCGGAGAAAGTATTGCTGTTAGAATGGGTCAAGGTGTGTTGCGATAAGGGAAACTTATGTGAAGTAGTGGATAGCAAATTGGGGGATGAATATGTGGTGGAAGAAGCTGAAATGGTGCTCAAACTAGGGTTGCTGTGTTCACACCCTGTTGCTTCGGCTAGGCCTACGATTTCTACTATTGTGGAAATTTTGGATGGAGATTCTCAGTTTCCTGATAACTTATCAGACTTGATCAAGTTTAGAAATTTTGGTGGCTGGTCTGGTCAAGGATCTTCATCGTCCTCTACTTTTCCCACTGGGCAGACTTCTATTGCTTCTCTCACTTTCACCGAGCCATTTGCCTCCAGGGGCCGCTAGCTGATTAATTACAGGGCCAAATGGTAATTAGGCATTTAAATTATAGATTTAAGGCTGTCTAAAATCCTAAACTCATTTGTAGTGTAACAATATTTGAAAACATGTAAAATTGCCTCCATAATAAACAAATATTAATTTTGACGATTGATCACAAATTACAAAAAGACATGCAAAAGATATAGAAAAAAATGTCAAAACTTTCTTTTAAAAGGACAAAAAAGACTGTTTTTTTTTTCAATATGGTACATATTTATAGTTTTTTGAGTTCTTATTTGTAATTTTTAGTCTTTTCTATAATTTTTTTGTTAACTAACTATCAAAATTAATTTTTATTAACAACATATTACACCGTTTTTAAATATAAGAGGAAAACATTTCATAAAAGATTAGTTTTAATTTAAGAGTAAAATTGTCTTTTTAAGTCTTAATTATATGTTGTTTCAATACAAATGTAGACCTTGGTGTATGTGTAAATAAACAAAATTATAGGTTTGTTCCCTTTTGTTTGCATCAACTTTTTGCTCTCGCCAGTATTATTTTGATAGTTGCATTTTATTCCTTTCAATTTAATTGTAGCATAATAGAACTATTTAATTCTCCTTTGGTGTATTTAGATTCTCAGGATAATATATTTGAATTAATTAATAATAATAACCTAAATTTATAATTAAATAAAAATATTATAGCTAAAAATATAAATATTCAAGCAAAAGAAAATTTTGATATACTTTTCAGTTCCAATGTAGATATAAATTTATATTTAGATATAAATATTTATATTGATGAAGACTCCAATTGCTAGCAAGCCAAGTCTTTCACACGCAGGGGCAGAACCAAGAGTGGAAGTGTGGGGGATCAAATTTAAATTTTGATAATTTATTTTGTAATTTTTTAATATTTAAAATAAAATTTTATTAAATACTTTTATAACTAAAAAAATCATGAGAATAATTTAGATCTGCATAATATTTTAAAAAAACATTTAAAGTTAATTCTTGCTAAATATTATAAAACAGAGAGAAATAGCCAACTCCAACATTTGTTGATGACATATTATAAAATTGTTAAATGAAAAATTATATAAGATTTCATAGAGCAGACTTATTTTTAAATAAGTCCCATAAAATTTAAAAATTATAATTAGATACCTTAAAACTTGGGTATAATTTAAAATTTTGCTACAGATAATAATACTCATATTAAATATATATTGTATCAATCAAATAATTAATTTACAACTACTTTATCAGTAATTTATAACTATAATTTTAAATTTTTATAATTATAATTTCACATATCCAATAATTAAACAATCATTCATTACTAATAAAGTTTAACATTAATTATTTATAATTATTTTATTAATAATTTATAACTATAACTTTAACTTTTTGTAACTATAACATTATATATTCAATAATTAAACTGATCAATTTAATTATTTGATATATGAAATTACAATTATAAAAAATTAAAATTATAATTATAAATTACTGATGAAATAATTATAAATTATTTGAATGATGTAATGTATATGTATTCTATAGGGATATTGTTGTCTTTTTATACAAATTTTAATTTACGCTCAAGTCTCAAAGAATCTAATTGTGATTTTTGAATTTTGAGAGATTTATTTAGAAATAAACCAACCCGACAAAACCTATATATAATTTTTTCTATTAAATATTCAAACAAATATTAGTTTAGGAGTGGGGATTAATTTAGGAAAAATTATGTATAGATCTCATAAAGTAAAATTATTTATAAAGAAGTTTCATAAAATTTAGAAATCATAACAGGTCCCTTAGGACCTGAATGTAATTTAAAATTATGATGCAAGGACAATAATACTCCTTATTAAAAATATATTATATCAATCAAATAATTTATAATTACTTCATCAATAATTTACAATTATTATTTTAACTTTTTACAAATATAACTTCACATATTCAATAGTTAAATTGATTATGCATTACAAGTTTGATACTAGTTATATACAAATACCTTATTAATAATTTATAACTATCACTTTAATATTTTATGATAATAATTTTACATATTTAATAATTTAATTAATCATGTGTTCTCGACAAAGTTTAGTATTAATTATTTACAACTATCACATCAATAATTACTCACACTTCAATATTTTACAATTGTGACTTTCAACAAGAACAGTATTATTTTTGTATTTCATATTCAAATTATACTCATATTTTAAGGGACTTGACTATTATTTTTAAATTTCACAAGACTTATTTATAAATAATTATATTCTATAAGATTTATACGTAATTTTCTCATTAATTTATTATAGTTGTTGATGAAAGAGATCAAGTATAATGGAAAAACAGCAATTACATTATTTCCATCTCCCCAAAAAAAATTCTGCAAACGAAAAAATTGCTAATCAGATCTAATGAGATGACATTGTGAATTAAATTTCTATATTAACAATATTTATATATTATCCAATCATCTCAATTGGCTCATGTCAACTCCATTAGCTTTTTAATAAAAAGAGAAATGTCAATTTTATTTTACTTTTAAAATGCAAAATCTTGAATTGTCAACTTGTTACTCAATTTTGTCATGTCACGACAATTCCGTGCAACTTTATAAACATTTACATAACAATTAAAGTTAACTAGAAAAATATTTAAGACACTATCAATAAGTTTATTATTTTCATATTCCAGAAATTATTCTTAAAAATAATGTCATTTTGATAAGGAAAAAAATATCTTCTGGGAGCAATTAAGTTCAAAAATATTAAACATTTTGAATCTTACAAGATACTCTCTCCGTCTCTATATATAAGGTATTTTTTAAAAGCTTATTTTATCCCTAAATATAAGGGGTAGCAATAATATTTTTGAGTAATTATACAATTTTATCTTTGTCTTGAAAAATGAAATAGATCATTAATTGTATATTTTTTCTACCACCATCATGATATTAATTATGATATTAGGGGTAAAATTGAAAAATTATTGTATTTTTTATGTGAGTTTAACTGAATAATAAACTTTTATTAATATGTGAGATTTGGTTAAAAATACTTTATATATAAGGACAAAGGGAGTTAATTATTATAGTTTTTTGCTTGGCCAAAAAACCATTAAAGGTATGATTAATAATTTTTTTTAATTGAGGTAACTTATAAAATAAGGATATACATAAAAAAATATAATTTTAAATTTCATTAACTTAGTTTGTGACATAAATTATTTAAAAGTGTCTTATAATATTAAATAAAATAATATATTTTTTATAGATATAATAGAAACTCTAAAAAACTACAAGTACTAATAAAAAGTTAATATTCTCATTATATATCAATGATATACAAATAAAAAATAATAATTATGCATATGAATGAAGAGAGGGATTATATTTTTTTTAAAATAAAAATATTGGGTCAATCACCTAAGCCACACACAAATACACACGCATTAGAGGCGACAATGGAATGGGCCCCCTCACCATGCATCTAACTTTGCCCCTGTTCACATGAGAATAGGATTGAGGAAGAAATTTCCTTCTAGAATATTCTATCAAAACTATAATATAACATTAAAAATATTTAAAAATTAATTTAAATAAATGACAAGAATTAATTTGGATTGAAATAGAGGGTTAAGATTGCTGCTAGCCTTGATGAGCTCGCGAATGAGCACAAATGCAAATACAAAAATTAGACAATAATGAGTGTGTTCTAATGGGTTATAATTGATTATAAAAAATATTGATTAATATGATTGATTGAAAATATAATTAATTATGTTATGTGGTATATAATTGATTAATAAAATTAATTTTAATCAGAATTGAAAAGTAAAACTGAAAAATAGAATTAAAATAAGAAAAAACTATGATTTTGTAAAATATGTATATAAACACCCATGTTATATGTTAAAATCAATTATGAACTAAAAATTATATTTTTAAAAATATTCAAACACTTATTATACATGCCAAAATTAATTATGAATTTAAAATCATGGTTTTTCTTAAAAATATCCAATCATCTTCGTACATGTCAAAATTAATTATAAATTTAAAACCATAATTATCTCATAAGCTACTATTACCTATTTTTTAATTATAAATTTCTAAAAATTTATTCAAAGATTATATAAATTATTTTACAAATAATTTTTTGTTCTTAATTATTTTACAATAATTGTTTTCCTTCATAATTGATTATGACATAAGAAGAGGTATTTGATATTTTTAAAAAAATTAATAGTTTTGGATTCATAATTATTTTTCGCATGTATAATAGGTGTTTGGATATTTTTAAAAAAGTATGATTTTGAATTCATAATTAATTTTAACATGAGTGATTTTGAACCAAAATTCAAACAAGCACTATATTAAGTGATGGTCCATGTATGCTTGTCTTTTTTTGTTCTTTTATTGTCTTTTTGACAATAAAATGATAATATATTTGAGTTCATTGACATCCTATTTGTGATAATCCAAATAAGAAGAGAGAGAAAAATATAATTAAATCCAAATTGTGATCACATAAAAATAATAGTTAGATTTGTTTTTGGAAATTTAAAATTCTAGAATCATGGAGTTAATAATATACATATATATTATATCCTATAAAATTTCAATATCTTAATATGCCCTTTAAATAACTGAATTTAAAATTTTAAAAGCATAAAAAATGATATCTAAATCTAAATTTAAATTTAAATTATAAATTATAAATCTTATCTTAAATTTAGTTGGAAAAAATTAGCTTAATGGTCCCAAAAAAATATAACTCTCATAAATTATGGATGAGGTTTTTGAACATTTTGAAATATGGCCCATTTATAAAATTAATTAGATGTGTTTTTCTTTTTTATCCTTAGAATAAATTATTATTAAAATAGAATATATTTGATTTAATCAATTTTTAACTGATTGGATCTTTTATTTTTATCATCAAAATCGTATTATGTATGCTCCCTCCCTGATTTATCATCTCTAAATTTTTTTCATTAGATTTTTTAGTCTAATTTTCCTGGATCATCATATTTATCTCTCGTACAATACTTTTCTTCATCAAAATTTTTTATCTAATTTTTCTAAATCACCATCTTTATCTCAAAGCTTTTCCTCTCTCTTCCTCTTTGTTTCTCCTAGATATTACGAAGAAGACATTGGACATTGAAGAGAAAATTCTATTATTGATCTACAATACTATATCATTGATATATAGCTATATATTAATGATAAACAAATTAGCAAGTTTTCACTGATATGGCTTATATATTAGTGATGTATAATAGTACATCACTCATATACTATCGCAGATTAACATAACCAGATAATTAGATATAAACTTATTTATAATTAATAGACAATCATATATTAATGATGTAGTATTGCAGATCAGTAATACGAAAAATACATAATCATTTGTCTAAAATATATCAAACATAGTTCACAAAAAATTTTAGGCTCTTAGCTTATCATAGAGAATCAAATACCTAAACTAATAAAATAAAAAATTATGAATCTATAGCTTCATTTCCCCGCCAGCATGCTCCATTCCGCCAAGTACCGTCGATGTATTTCACCTCACGTTTGTCTCTCTGGCTTCAAGTTCC